TGTAGATGATGAGATATTCTTTGTGTGTGGCTGTGATATTATGTGGGCAAACGTGGGCAAGAGATTCGAAGATTAACAAAACAATTTAATTGTCCTGACAAAATCTCGTGGTAGAAGGGATGCAATTAGCCATGTAAGAGAAGAAATGATAGGAATAAGGTTTAAAAGTTGGGGAAGTGTCACGACTATGCCACATAACCAGCATTGCCTCTCTTAATGGTTACGTCCCTAGTACGCTAGATGTCCTCGGAGTGTCTGTTCTGCCTCTCCTCAAGTAGATGAGTTTGCTCATGTGCCCCGATAATCAAGATGGTGAAATCGTACGTAATGTTGCATTCAACCCTTAGATTCTTTTGACTACAAGAACAANGACATGTGGCATGACAAGACCGCCACATGACACCTTAGTGCCACACGAACAACTATGAATCTCACTAAGTCAAGGAGGTGCACCTAGGAACCAGTTAGAGCACCTTGTATACAACTCAGGAACCTCAGGATAGYGGCTAGTAGCACCTCGTCTAGGGCCGACCTGTGGTACCTCGTTACCAGTCTAAGGGACCTCAGCATGAGGAGCGACCTCCCCCAAAGGACTTACCGACTTGACTAAGGTACAGGTGGTGACCTACGAGATGTGCTTGCTGACCTCCTTTGTGTGCGTCTTATCACTCTCATGTCCTCTAGAAGTTAGCTCCCGCACCGATAATTCTAGAAGCAACCAAATAAGGCATGGAAGCCTAGTCCGTGTGCGAAACTACCTTCTAGGACTTTGGACCGATAACTCGGTAAGTCACGTCCTAGTAGGGATCTYGGTTGCGGTGTGTGAAGCTCATGCCAACCGATGCCTATATAAAAACACCCCCATTTTTTAAGAAAGGTACACACAACTTAGCTCTGGCAATTCCCTATCTCTTTTGCTTTCTTGCAAATAATTACCATTTCGCTGACTTAAGCATTGAAGTGCCCACCCTGGGTCAAGCTACTTAGACACTCTAATAATCACTTTCTT